GTGGAGCCACTCAAAACCATCACCTTACCCTACATTGCAGGGGTCACTTAAAAGATCTCCAAAATCCTGAATAAACACAAGATCCAGGTCCGATTCAACACAGTACATAAAATCCGTGATCTGGTTCCATCTGTAAAAGATGCTGTTCCAGACATACAGTACCCGGGCGTTTACAAACTAAAGTGCCTCTGTGGTAGTAGCTACATTGGAGAAACCAAACGACATATCTTGGACCGCATCCGCGAACATAAAGCAGACTTGAAACACGGTAGAACGAACTCCTCTGCCGTGGCAGATCACTGTTATAATTCAGTGGGCTCACATGACATTGACTTCTCCAAGACGGAGGTTCTTTGCAAACCAACCGGCTACCATGAGAGATTCGTTCATGAGGCCATTCACATATACACGCACAGAGACAATTTCAACCGAGAAGATGGATTCTGGCTTAGTAACCATTGGAAAGATGTTTTAAACCATTTCCGTTCTTAATTAATTGTATTTTACGATGACCTTCAGACCGCAGCTCTTTCGCTGGCATTGACTCTTAATACCTCTCACACCACTGTTAATGGTATGGTTTACAACATGGAGTATAACAGCGCCTCGCAGCTGTCTCTCTCCCCCTCCTCCGTTCCGACCATGGATGAACTCGTCCGTCTGAACGGGGTTCGTAGCTATCCGTGGTGCTAAAAGTTGCGGCTAAGAATCCACCCATTTTTTCGCCATATAGCAGTGTGATATATGACGACTTACTGTTGGTACCTTAGCTGATTGGAGAATATATAGAGTTTATTGATAACATTGAGGTAATTTATATTTTAGTTTTGTATTGGTTTACTATATAGTATTCATCTTCTTTGGTTCTTTCAGTAAAGTCACGTAGAATGAGAATAAAATAATAAATTGATAAAATAATTTTAAGTTATCAATGTAGAATGAGAATAAAATAACAAATTGATAAAGTAAAATAATAAATTGATAAAATAATTTTATTTTATCAATTTATTATTTTATTCTCATTCTACGTGACTTTAGCGAAAGAACCAAAGAAGATGAATCCTTGCAGTCACGAAAGCTTTAAATCGAAATTTATATAGTATTCATTATATAGTGTAGTGTATACCCAGTTACTGTTAATAGCTCAGCTTATTGAATAATATATTGAGTACATTTATTCTGTGGATGTGTATGCTTTGACTTTAACGTAGCCATTTCTGTGACCAGTCACAAGCTAATCACTCAGCTATTTCAATGCTAAATTCTATGCTAATTCCTTTGTCAAGGCGCTATGTTTCTTCTCACACAGCTTAAAGGTCGTGGTCTGAGCTTGGCTGTGTTCGCTCCAGCGCTGTCCTCCAGACAGTCTCGTCCCTTCACCTGATGAAGGCCGCTTGTGTTGTGGCCCGAAACGTCGTGAGAATTTTATTGCGTTATTTTATTTTATCAATTTATTATTTTATTCTCATTCTACGTGGTGACTTTGCCGAAAGAACCAAAGAAGTCTAAAGGTTATACGGTGGGGGGGAATATTTGTCTTTTACCGCCCAGCAATGGGGGATGGGAGGGACCTCAAATGTAGATGTTGTTTCTCCGATGTATCTCTTTAGCTACACAATGCGTGCGCACACCCATGACATGCCCCGCAACGAGTGTTCATCGCACGCCCATCGTACTTACGAATCACTATTGGCGGGATGTTTGTTCTTCTTTGTGTGTATTTACGGAATGTGCGTGTGTTTGATGCATATTATACAAGCCATGTATATTATTAGTAGTAGTATTATAACAGGCAGAGCTATCAATTATTTAACGCAGAGCCAGTACGCTCTGGGATTACGTGCAGTAATAGTAATTAGTGTTATTAATTATACATGTGTGATGCAAAAAAACATTTGTTAGCCGCAGTCGATAACGCGACCGACTCCCTGCAGCTTTGTGAACAACAACTTACATGGGTCTCACTCCCATCGAGGGTTCGTTACACATCTCCCCTCCCATCACGAACGCTTTGTATCCAATTCCGGATTTCCCAAATCTCAAGTCCTCGCGATCCCTGCACCACCACGATCCGCCTTTCCTTGTTTAAATTTCTCTGTTGTGCGCACGCTTCACGTGCCCGATGGTTGCTCTACTCCACAACGACGCTCAACATTAGTTTGTGCTGTTTGTAATAGAGGGCGCTTGCCTCAAAACACCGGCAAGCTCACCAGCTTAACATGGTTCAAACAAGGATCCCTCTGCTGATGAGACACTGAGTGTCGAAACCGATCTGCAGAGGTTTTTGTTGTACTGAACCAATGCTGCTGAATTTATACCCTCCCAGAAATCCGTGTGCGGCTGATGGGGTGTGCAGAAAATACTTGCACATTTGACGAACTGTTGTGTTGTTGTTGCATCGTCACGAAGTGTCACGATGTGCACGCGTAGGGAGCGGTGGCGCAGTGGTTAGCGCAATGCGCTGCGAAACCGACGACCCGAGTTCCACTCCCGCTCAGGACCAATATGAAATAGCGAAGATCTGAACTGGTCCCGGGCCTCCCCTAAATGGGGAGGTCTTAAGCGAGTACCTGGTGCGGTGTCGAAACATCAGCACTGGGGAGACAAAGGCGGACGAGCATGGTGTTGGTCTCCCACCGCCTTGTGTGCCGTACGGGCCTTAACTAGGTGTTCGCTAACAGCATTTGCTCCAAAAGTGTGTAAAGGCTATATGGGCGATCTTTGTCTTTTTTGTTTGTGTTCGTGACTGCACTCAACAAAACCCATCACGTTAAATTTGATTTTGCACTTTGGTTGAATTCCAGCTCCGAGACTTCAAAATGCACGTTTCCTCAAGACAATGAAAGGAAATAAATGTAGCTCCTGAAGGAGCTTCCAGTACGTGGAGCGAAACGTCGGACATCGTGCCAAACAACGCGCGGCACATCACAGAAGCACGTGGGAGATTTGCAGCAGAGTAACACATCCACCTAGTGGGGGAAATCCAGGGTGCGGCTGATATACGAGATGCATCGCTCCTGTGATCCAGCACTGTGGATGGTTTGTAGATCACGCACAAATGGGCAGTGGAACTCCCTTGCCGTCGGTGGTCATCAAGGAGGAGCCGTACCCTGGCTCTGCCGAGAGAAGGCGGTACGGCTACGATGTGGGCTCCACCTGTTCAGTCTGCACGGGATCGAGCGTTGCGCCCTGGCACGCGTGGGTTTTCTCCGGGTGCTCCAGTTTCCTCCCACTTGTATGAACACTCATTGATTGGCCGATAACAATACCTTCATATAAAGAGGATCGTAGAGCTTGGGGAAAGGGGCGTGAGGGGGAGGGGAATTTAATGCCAGATCACTGCCTGAGAGGGAGTATTAGATTATTTGTTATTTATTTATGCTGATAATACGTCAGTGATATCCTTCTCAAGATCAGCATTGAGGCCACTGATGCTCATCTCCTGAACCAGTGGTGGAAATTCCACATTTCAATGGCGGGGGCGAATCTTTCCACAGGACAACTACTGTTGACATCTCTATAAAGTGGTCCTCATGTTATCCACCCCGGAGGGATGACGATGATGGGCTGAGTAGACCCAGAACCAGGAGTGGAACTCGCAACCTTCCAATCGCCAGCCACTCACCCTGCCCGAGCCACATGGCCGATTAGCTTACAATTCCGCTCTGAAGTTTCGAAAATCCGGGCGTGATCCACCAACGCCTTTCCTCCACGTCGTGCACTTCCTGCACCAAACACAAAGACTCCGCATATATCCTTTAGCAGACTGTTGGAGCCAAGTGCTGTTAGAGAGCACCTATTAAGGTCGGCGGGGCACAAAGGAGGCGGTGTGGCCGGAACCACGCGTGGCAGCATTTTGCTCCCCCGTGCTGATGTATACATCGGGTACTCGTTTAAGTCTAAGTCGACCTAGGCGAGGCCCAGCACCGGTTCAGATATTCGTCACCGTGAGCGGGAATCGAACTCGGAACACCACCACCATATCTTGCCTTTCGAGGTCAATAGGTCAATGGAGTGACCATGGCTCGTGGGTGAAGGTGGCGATGGTTGGAGGCCGTGTTGTTGTTGTTGTTGGTGGTAATGCCAGTTGGCTCTGGCCGTGTGCGTACACACACACGTGTACATAGGTAAAGGCGCAGCACTGCAAGTGCTCGCTCACGCCACTGCCGACGGAAGAGGCCTCCACACTACAGATAGTCAGTCCCATGTAGAGCGGCATTTGGCCTACACTTCCACGTTGGCACAGAGATCTTGAAAGCGTTGGGAGCACCCACACTTTACCCCACCGCTCGCCATCCGCCAATCGACGTCACTGTGATGCACACACAAACCCTGCTGGCGCTGGAGACGGGGAGGTGGATTTAAGAACCCAATTTTTCAACTTCCGCGCTGGGAGATCAAATCTAAGCGGTGACCTCTGTGTTGCAATTCCGGTGTTCCAAGTTCTAGACCTTCACACCACTGCAGCATCTCACACACACACACATCCCGTCTACGAAGACAAAGATCCCCCGTGTAGCATTAACAAACTGCTGGGGCAAGTGCTTTTATCGAGAAGCTATGATGGCCGGAACTGCAGGCGAGGGGGTGGGTGGCCAGCACCACGCTCGGTCGCCTTTGTCTCTCCAGTGGTGATGTTTACACATAGCACCAGATACTAATTAGATGCCAAGTCGAGCTTGGTGAGGCCCAGGACCGGTTCGGATATCCGTCACTGGTGTTGGCCATGAGTGGAAATTCGCCACTAAGCGGCGGTGACGTCCCCAATGCACTTGTGCCAGGCTAGGTGCACCTTGAGGCCGTTTTAAAGTGTGGAAGGCTGTCTGGAAGAAGGTGACGGTACAGACCCAGGGGTTATGGGTTCACTGAGACGACTGGCAGCTGCACCACTGCGCCAGTTGTATCTGGCCTTGTGTGTGTGTATACACAAAGACAACCATTCCCCATATAGCCATTAACAGACTGTTGGGACACACACACATATATATACTGTGCACACACACGCACGGATCTGTCTCTCTCCAACTGCTGCGATTCCGTCAACCGCTGAACTTCCTTCAACTGCTGATCCTCTCTCGTCTGCTACACGTCCTTCAACTGCTGCACACCACCTTCAACCGCTGAACAGCCTTCATCTGTTAAACCTCTTTCAAGTGCTGCACAACCCTTCAGCTGCTGCACTTGCTGCGAACGATGGCTCCAAGGACATCACTGATTGTCGTCGCTTCTGCGCTTCTATGCTTCGTTTCCTTCGTCCCTGGACCCGGTAAGACTGCCAATGCAGCACTGTACTCACATTTGACGATACATCGTTCCTCGATGCGTGTCCACAACAACGGTATCGTCCGTTATGCATCGTTATAGCGGGATGGTTATCGTAGCGTCATTTATCTGAAATATTTGGGTAGCTGACAATAAATATTCACTATGTCAATCTGATCACTCAACAAACTTAAAGTTGTATTTTTTTGTATGTGTGTGTGTACGTGTCATTGGGGGGAGCGGTCAACGCGAATCTGGCGACCCGCGTTCGATTCCCGCTCACGGCCAACACCAGTGACGAACATCTGAACCGTTCCTGAGCCTCCTCTAGGTCGACTCAGCCTCAAATGAGTACCTGGTGCGGTGTGTAAACACCGCCACTGGGGAGACAAAGGCGGTCGGGCGTGGTGCTGGCCGCCCACCCCCGTCTTGTACCCGGCCGATCATAGGTGCTCGCTAACAGCACTTGCCCCAAAAGTATGTCGTTGTGTATTAATTGATACCCTGGGCATTCTATGCAAAAGAGATGCTCCATCTGAATGGACCATCCGGGTGAAAGACATTCAACGAAAGTTCTTCCCCGGCGCGTGCAGGTGGCGTGTGCGGCTCGACTGGGATGAACGGCACCCAGACACCGCAGGGGGATTCCCTTCTGCAGCAATGCACGGGTAAGGAAATGTTTGAGTCGCCTCCATCTCGTTCGTCAGTCCGTCCATCCGCTCCGTCACGGGCAGAACCTCGACACGACGCCCTCGCCAACGATGATACAAACGTAGCGAGTTTAACAAATTATTTACCCTGCTGCTGCTGATCTCCTGAACCAGTGGTGCACAAACTCAACACGTTCCTTGTCAATACCAGCACTCTGTGATATCATAATGCAGGAGTGAGGTGAAAAGAGATGGTGGTGATGGTCGCGATGATGGTGGTGGTGATGGCGATGATGGTGATGGTCACTGTAATTTTCCACGACCTATATGCCAAAACCACTACACCTCTGCAAGTAATCAGAAGATGCTGCTAACCTCTCCACCCAAATCCTGCTCCACCTCCCTCTCTCTCCCCCTGCTCCCTCCCCGTAGACATGATAACCACCAACGCGCAGTTCTGCAGCGTGGCCGAGACGTGCTGCATTTTCGGCGTGGACCAGACCGGCTGGATCGCCGCCGCCGTGGGCTGGTCGCTGGCCTTCCTCGTGCTCATCGTGTCGTGCGCCTGCCAGCTCCACTCCATACACCCCGAGGCCTCCAAGCGAATTCGTCTGCGGGAAGGGGGGGCCACGAGCTAAGGAAAGAAAGGCCAGTCCCGCCCCCCGCAATTCCACCTTTCCCTCTGACAGTGCCGGATTATCCTCGTAGCAAAAGTGGCTACATGTGTAGCTACGGGCCCCGCACTTTCAAGCGCCCCGCGCTACACGCTTTCAAGCTATCAATTTCGGTTCCGTGATTATGCACTTGCTCTATTACTATAGTGCTATACCGCCTTCAAATTTTATGAACGACTGGATGTTTAAGGTTAGCGATTTGTCGTATTATCTGGCTGTATAGCAAATTAGGAAATACAATTACTTTACTATGCAAGTTACAAATGTGTGGTTTCATATTTGTGATTTTTTTTAAATATTTAGGGCCCCTTTATAACATCATGCTACAGGCCCCGCACAAGCTAAATCCGGCACTGACCTCTAACTCTCTTAGCCCCCCCCACCGCATCCCCCCCACAAGCCCGCCGTGTTTGTGTCCACGTGTGTGTACATGTCAACAGACGCTGTTTTGACAATACGGTGGCTACACATCAGGCGAAGCTCTGCAACTGCTCGCTCACGAAACGCTGGCAGAAGCGCTTCCACTAGAGGCCGCTCTAGAGAGCTCCCTCTAGCAGAAGGGTACTGGCCAGACGTCTTAGAAGTGGCAGGAGGATTCACAATTTATCCCACCACGCGCGCGGCCTGCCGATCTGCATATACCTGTGATTACGCTATCAATTACAATTATACATTATGATGATGATGAATTATAGCAGCACCATTCGCTGAATTTACAATGGCACTGTGATTGAGACGCATGATGAGTGGCACCATCACAATTCTAATCGACTCCACCAGGTCCTCTCTTGTAGTTATTTACCCAGGAAAGCCCCACAGAGTCTCAAGACTCCTTTTCAAGAGGGTCCTGCCACACGTTGGTCGTTCGACATGTGGTGTGTGGTGGTCAGCTAAAATCAAAAGCAATATGATGATGATAATTGATGACGATGTAAGAGTGTGAACACACACCCATGGAAATAAATCAACATCAGTGTGATGTGTCGATAAGTAGTAGAGTAATAATAATATTCATGTTTTGTTTTACATACCGTGTCGTCGTTCGTGCAAATTGCATCCCTCACAATCGCTGAGAATCCACAAAGTTAGAAAGCAGCAGCAACCACGCTACAAAAAAATATCCAAGCTCTGCGATTCTCGAAATACGAATGAGTGTTTTACACGTGGGAGAAAACCGGAGCACCTGAAAAAAAAACAGATGCTCTATCCCATACAGAAGGGACAGATGGAGATTAGGGCCACACACTTTTCTGCACCGCCTTCACCTGGCGAGCCAGGGAACGGCTCCTCCTCGACTCCCACCCACGGCGAAGGGAGTTTCGCGACGTTTGTATGCGGTGATCCACCATCCCTCGCTGTTGCCTCCACAGTGCTGGACGAGAGGCAGTCACGCGCGGCGTCAGGCCGCCACCACCGCCCAGGAACGTATTGGTGCGCAACCGCAAATCAAGCGACCACTCGATTTTAAATGCGTTTAGCTCGCTAGTCCAGGTCAGCTCACGCTGTCACTCAATAACAACACTTGCATTTTGATCTGGGGGCTCTATCGCTGCTCGTTGTCGTAACACTCACGCTTTTGGTTCTCAAGTTTGAACGCTCGATGACAATACATGACAATAAATCAGTACTCGTACGGTGATGTTTTATACGCCGATATCAGTTCACGCGTGCCTGCGTTGTACTATGTAACAGACATGGGCGGACGGGTGTGGTGTTGGTGTGCCGTGTCGGCCTTCATATGCTACTCGCTAACAGCATCTGCCCCTAAAGTCTGTTGTGGCTTTAAGGGGGATCGTTGTATTCTTTGTGCATGTGAGTGGGAGGCAAGGAGACCGGTTCACGAGATGGATAAAGAACATTCCTCACCATCATGGTGGTGGTAATGTTGGCGGTGTGAGGCCTTCATCCAGCAGTTGAAAGTCCATGTCAGATGATTATTGTGATCATGGTGATGATGGTGATGATGGCGTGAGGAGGCAATCATCCAACAGTGCTGTTACCATGGCTCACAAAGATTAAATAAGGATCAGGATACGATGATTGTGGCATTGGAAAGAATCAATTAATCAGCGGATATACCATGGTCCATGATTATGAAGATGACGATAATAATAATGAGAGGATGAGCATGTGATGACAAAATTAGATCATGAAAATAATGGTGGTTATTATTATTTCTACCTACGTGACTTTGCCGAAAGAACCAAAGAGTATGGATTCCTGCAGTCACGAAATCTTCAAATCAAGACTATTATTAAGTTGTTGAGGCGGCTGGCGATGATTGGGCAACGCTTAGCCCCCACTTTTCACCCAGGCAACTCGAGCGCAGCACAGACTAACAATTTAATATTAAGAACCACAGTTAAGCGACAACACAATGCATACATTATTAAAACGAAGAGTAATGCTGGCATGAGGAGGCCTTCATCATTAATCTTAATTGTAATCGTTTTACACAACACACACAGGCACACCACGCATGCCCGCGTGTGTGTTGTGGGTTGACCGCGTGTTTGGTGTTTGCTGTACCTGGAGATCGTTGCTCTTGTAGCCAAAACGGCGTGCCAGATGTTCCCCGGTACCTTCCGACCTCAACCGGTCCTCCCTCTCCCCCGACCTCGCCCCATGACGTCTCAATCGAGGCGAACGGGTTTTTATGTAATGTTGTTCAGGCCCTTGCGTTGTGTTGACCGACTCTCTGTGTTGCATTGCATTACATTTCCAAATTTTACTAAGTGTGTTTGATTTAGTGTGTTTTCTCTCCTCTCTCTGTCTCCCCTCGTTTTGTTGCTCTTGTTTCCTGCAGTTACGAAGGCTCCAAGTCTCTCATTGACACGCTAATTTCTCTACCCCCCCCCTCTCTCGATTTAAGGCTTCGACACAGAGGCGTTGTTTCTCTGTGTGCCTATGTGTGTGTCTCTCTCTGTGTCTGTGTTATCTCTCTGCTTATGTGTCTGTCTCTGTTTTATCTCTCTCTTAAATTTAGCAATCTTTGGAAGAACGTATTCAACCAGGTAGGGCGTTGACTGTTATGTTAGCCGACTATCTGTGTTGTATTGCATTATATTTCCAAGTTTACTAGGTTTGTTTTCTCTTTCATTTATACCTGATGATTGCTTGTGTTGCAATCGAAACGTCGTATGCTATTATTTAATTTGTGATTTTCTCTTTCTACGTGACTTTACCGAAAGAACTAAAGTGTAATGTTGATCTTGTTGTTGGACGACTCTGCAACACCGAATACGAAACTCGCAACCACCAAATCACCACGCGGGCTTGCGCCGACCGATATCACGTGATTCATCATCGAGCCTTAGGTCAAATGCGTGTCGTTGGCACCTCCTCCACCCGACACAGCCAACGAATAAAGTTGTCGAGTGAACGAATGTGGCCAATTTGCGTATTTTCGCTTCACCAGCAGCGCGAGCGGTGAGTTGGTGAGCAATCGGCAAGGTTTATCATTGCTGATGATGACTACGACACCAGGTGGTCGATGATTGTATCGCGGGACCGTGGGGCGGCTTTCGAAGTCGGGTGGGAGGGGGAGGAAGAGGGGAGAAGGCTTCATACAGCAGTGGATTGATCATGGCTCACGATGTGGCCACGGCTTACGAGAGGCACGTGTGGTGGAGCCGCCGTCATCGATTGCAGATGAGTAATGCGTCCACTGCACGCGTCGTGTTAAAACGCAATTACGTGGCACGGACACCACCATTGCCTTGTGATGTATTCCTAATTGGGCATTGATTTCGTTTAATATTAAATGATCGCATTACGTTTTATTATCATGTTGCGTCTCCACTTATTGCAAAATGTTAAAACTCTGCACCCACGTGGTATTGTATGGTACTCTCCTGCCCCCTATTTGACAATGTTGTGCACTGCATGTCGGTAAACATACCACCGTCATAGAAATATGGAATTTCCAACACTGGGCCGTCTGCTATCATTCCCTTCGAACGACGAGTCCTGCGTTTAGGAGACTAATTATTTTTTTAATTTCCATCGTGTCCAGCTTTCGTAGACTATGACAACGTATTTGAAAAGTGAGATAATAACAAAGGAAATGACACAACGCAGGTTTTTTTACATCGTTACTTATAAAGTGTATTTTACTTTAAAACTGTAAACAACACACACACTATTGCTATCATCACTCGGGTGTTACACAAGCCAGGCCACAGCAAATACTGAGCTCAAGTGTACTGGGAGGAAGTGGAGCAGAATGTGATTCACACAGCCAGAGTAGACCCGCCTCTAGCCAGCATCATCATGATTGTTATAGCCTGTTTGTCACGGGGGTACTACCAGCATGGGCAGCGTGGGCAGCGTGGGCAGCGTGCACCGCGGGCAGCAAAAAACGTTACGACGATCATCATCATCCACATCATAGCCGTCATCTCATATATAATAAAGTGACTTTCATTACAGAGCTTCACAGTGCTTAACACAACCACCGCGTCCATGCTGTGATATTAACAGTCGTAATAAGAAAACATTCAGGCAAAGCGCTCACTCATCCCCAGATCGAAAGAGCAAAACTAACGAGCCAGCGTCACGCGATGGCTTTCTCCCCAGCTCGCGGCCAAGATGCCGGCGATCACCGCTTTTCACCAATAATGTTTTCCAGTTTCGCTGCGAGACAGACCGGAGGAGGAGGAGTAGGTGGCGTGACTATCAGTGACAGCCGCCATGGCCAGAGGTATACTGGACGTGATGTGCCGGTAGCAGGAACACTTTCCTGGGTTTCCCACCGACTAGACCACGGCGCTACAAGGGATTTTATTGAACATTCTGCAATAACTTACGTCTTCGAGCTAATAAAAGCGACGTCATGCGACACCGTTAATATATTACACGCTAACGTGACATGTGGGGTCAGTTCCTGCTACGTTGTATTTTCAAATCGATCCGAACCAGACAATAAAGTTCGTATGCTAAATGTCGTTTCTAAGTCCAGTTTGTCAGATTATTCGATTAATACAAAACTCGGGAACACAACCCTACAGTGTGGTGCTTTCCCGATTAAACATCTATTGCTCAACAACCGCACACGATGGATACATAGACGGGCGACAGTGGCGGCCGTGCGGTGTAGCATACGTAAGTTCACTTCTCCGAACCTGTGACCGGGTCGGCGTGTGACCCGAGCTTCACACGGCGTCTCAACTCAGTTCTCACGGCGTGTGCGTCACCGGCATTCGCGCATTCAGGACTCGAACTGCCGTGCTTGCGATCGCCATCATTGTCGCAGCTATCATCAAGGACACCGTGGTCACCATCATTATTGTCATCGCAAATGCGATGGCGATTGTGGTCACCATCGCGGGAGTTGCCGCCACCACTGCCACCACTGCCACCACTGCCACCACTGTCACCACCACCGTCACCACCACCGTCACCACCACCGTCACCACCACCGTCACCACCACCACCGTCACCACCATCACCACCATCGTCGAGGTCACAGCAAAGGTCGCTCCGATTAAATCCAAAATTCTCGGCAGCCACCAGCGGGTCGCTGTCCCAATCCACCGGCTCGTCGACGACAGACGACGGAAACTCGGCCGCAGAAGAGAAGCCCCAAGCGCTGCGTGGCCACGGCCCTCTGAGACGCGACGCCTTGCCGGTCAGCACGCGTTCACCGACGTCCTCACCGCCGCCGCGACGGTCGCCAAGGTCGCCAACATCCTCCCCTTGAGTCGTTATGAAGCGGCGATGGCACCCGGGGATCGGCCCATCCGCCTCGCCCGGCCCACCTGCGTCGCCCGGCCCACCTGCGTCGTCCGGCCAGTCGGGCGCCCAGTTCTCGGGCACGCGTTGCGCCGACCGGCGAGAACTCGGGTGGCCGGTGAGATGGCCGTCGGGAGTTGGTGCAAAGCGGGAGGAAGGCAGCACAAATGTAGGTATTTCTTTGGCATCATCACCATCTGCGAAAGAAAAAGAATGTAAATTATCACGCTTGTTTGATTTTTTTCACTAGTTTTACCCAGGGTAGCCTCACCCCTCTTTCTGGAGAGTCCTAATAAGTTTTCACAGGACGGGGCAACGATTGCTAAGTTTCCCAATTAACTGATTTAATAATGATGAAGTTATTTATTACAAGTTTGATTTAAAGCTTTCGTGACTGCAGGGATTCATATTATTGGTTCTTTCGGTAAAGTCACGTAGAAGGGAAACAATAAAATAATAAAAATATAAAACAATAAAATTCTCACGACGTTTCGACTGCAACGCAAGCAATCATCATCAGGTGTGAAAACCACAGCAAGAAAATTTGAAAAAAGTATTTATTTATTTATTTAGTCAATGAAGCCTCAGTGAGACTCGAGACTCCTGGACAGGAGGGTCCTGCTACACTGAGATGTTTGGCCAAGTCCATTATTGAGTGCTTATATGTGTGGGAGGAAACCAGAGTGCCTGGAGAAAACCCACGTATGCCAGGGGTTGGGCGGTGTGGTGAGTGGGGGGGGGGTGGTAACACAATCTCCAACAATTGCCCATTGCTCTGTGTCTGCTATATCGGGCTGGCTGTCAAACTCCACGAGTGTTGATGACTCAAGCGAGGGAGAGGAGTGGTCCTTGCCGAGCGAGAAGGGGGAGTCCTCGGCCTCCTGCTCGGCGCTCGTGGGCCCGGACCCCTTGGCGGCGCGGGAGGTGAGCGTCATCTCATGCAAGCGCCGCACCACCTGCTCCTGCCGCTCGGCCGTTGCGCCGATCCTGACCCGGGAGTCACACACGAGACGAGAGATAAAAAATCAGAATCTTTATTTTTACTGGACTAGCTTTACTACCCGGCTTCGCCCGGGACTTGGATTCGCCACGCCCGGCCGCCTTTGTCTCCCTAGTGGTGATGTTGACACACCACACCAGTTACTCGTTTGAGGCTGAGTCGACCTAGGGGAGGCCCAGGACCAGTTCAAATAATCGTCACTGCTGGTGGCGGTGAGCGGGAATCTAACTCGGGTCGCCGGGTTCGTAGCGCGGCGCGCTAACCACTACACTGCCGCTCCAAAGACAAAGATCCCCCATATTGCTTTAACAGACTGTAGGGGCAAGTGCTGTTAGCGAGCACCTACAGTGAGGGAAAAAAGTATTTGATCCCCTGCTGATTTTGCACGTTTGCCCACTGACAAAGAAATGATCAGTCTATAATTTTAATGGTAGGTTTATATGAACAGTGAGAGACAGAATAACAACAAAATCCAGAAAAACGCATGTCAAAAATGTTATAAATTTATTTGCATTTTAATGAGGGAAATAAGTATTTGACCCCCTCTCAATCGGAAAGATTTCTGGCTCCCAGGTATCTTTAATACAGGTAACGAGCTGAGATTAGGAGCACACTCAAAGGGAGTGCTCCTAATCTCAGCTTGTTACCTGTATAAAAGACACCTGTCCACAGAAGCAATCAATAAATCAAATTCCAAACTCTCCACCATGGCCAAGACCAAATAGCTCTCCAAGGATGTCAGGGACAAGATTGTAGACCTACACAAGGCTGGAATGGGCTACAAGACCATTGCCAAGCAGCTTGGTGAGAAGGTGACAACAGTTGGTGTGATTATTCGCAAAAGGAAGAAATACAAAAGAACTGTCAATCTCCCTCGGCCTGGGGCTCCATGCACGATCTCACCTCGTCGAGTTGCAATGATCATGAGAACGGTGAGGAATCAGCCCAGAACTACACGGGAGGATATTGTCAATGATCTCAAGGCAGCTGGGACCAGTCACCAAGAAAACAATTGGTAACACACTACGCCGTGAAGGATTGAAATCCTGCAGCGCCCGCAAGATCCCTCTGCTCAAGAAAGCACATATACATGCCCGTCTGAAGTTTGCCAATGAACATCTGAATGATTCAGAAGACAACTGGGTGAAAGTGTTGTGGTCAGATGAGACCAAAATGGAGCTCTTTGGCATCAACTCAACTCGCCGTGTTTTGGAGGAGGAATGCTGCCTATGACCCCAAGAACACCATCCCCACCGTCAAACATGGAGGTGGAAACATTATGCTTTGGGGGTGTTTTTCTGCTAAGGGGACAGGACAACTTTACCGCATCAAAGGGACGATGGACGGGGCCATGTACCGTCAAATCTTGGGTGAGAACCTCCTTCCCTCAGCCAGGGCATTGAAAATGGGTCGTGGATGGTTATTCCAGCATGACAATGACCCAAAACACACGGCCAAGGCAACAAAGGAGTGGCTCAAGAAGAAGCATATTAAGGTTCTGGAGTGGCCTAGCCAGTCTCCAGACCTTAATCCCATAGAAAATCTGTGGAGGGAGCTGAAGGTTCGAGTTGCCAAACGTCAGCCTCGAAACCTTAATGACTTGGAGAAGATCGGCAAAGAGGAGTGGGACAAAATCCCTCCTGAGACGTGTGCAAACCTGGTGGCCAACTACAAGAAACGTCTGACCTTTGTGATTGCCAACAAGGGTTTTGCCACCAAGTACTAAGTCATGTTTTGCAGAGGGGTCAATTACTTATTTCCCTCATTAAAATGCAAATCAATATATAACATTTTTGACATGCGTTTTTCTGGATTTTTTGTTGTTATTCTGTCTCTCACTGTTCAAATAAACCTACCATTAAAATTATAGACTGATAATTTCTTTGTCAGTGGGCAAATGTACAAAATCAGCAGGGGATCAAATACTTATTTCCCTCACTGTATGAAGGCCGGAACGGTACACGAGGGGGTGGGTGGCCAGTACCACTCCCGACCGCCTTTGTCTCCCCAGTGGTGATGTTGACACACCACACCAGTTACTCGTTTGAGGCTGAGACAACCTAGGGCAGGCCCAGGATCGGCTAAATAATCGTCACCGGTGGTGGCCGTGAGTGGGAATCGAACTCGGGTCGCCGGGTTCGTAGCGCAGTGCGCTAACCATCGGTACACAAACACGCGCTTGCTGCAGACACGCACAACTTTCAGGGTGCATACGGCAGTAAACGACTGAAATAATAAAGCAATGCTGCGCAAAGAACTGCAACACAATTGTATTTCACTTTACCCGCGATCAGCAGGCACACTCCGTTACGCTTCCGCACATGGGTCACATGCCAGATGTGACGTCACAGCTCACTTGCCATGCAAAAATATATGCATTATTGAGCCCCCCCCCCACCCAAATTTTTTTTTACAAAAGTCTATTTTTATATTTTTTGCATGGTGTACATTCTGGAAAGTACCCACATGGCAAATTTCAAGTTTGTTGTATGTCTGGAAGTATGCTAAACATTTTGAACAAACACACAATCACAAATTTCCCTTCTATATATATAGAGATGATTCCAATGAGCTATAATGATCTTTATGTCCAGTAAAATATCAAAGATCCCCCATATAGCTTAAACAGACTCTTGGGGCAAGTGCCGTTAGCTAACGGCTGAGTCAACCGAGGGGAGGCCTAGGTCCCGCTCAGATGTACGTCACTAATGCTGGCCGGGAGCAGGAATCAAACTCGAGTCGCTGCAATTCATAGTGCAGTGCACTAACTGCTGCACTACCGTTCCACCGGTTTTAAAGAAGATCAACATACAAAGACAAAGATCCCCCAAATAGCCTTAACAGACTCTAGGGGCAAGTGCCGTTAGCGAATACCTATGAAGACCAGTACGGCACACGAGGGGGTGATGTGGTCAGCACTATACTCGGCCGCCTTTGTCTCCTAGTGGTGATGTTTACGCACCGCACAAGGTACTAATTTGAGGCTGAGTCGTCCTAGAGGAGGCCTAGGAATGGTGGCCGTGAGCGGAAATTGAACTCGGGACGCTGGGCTCGTAGCGCAGTGCACTAATAACTGCGTCACCAGTTCCGCAACTCAGAAACATACAGACACACACAAGCCACTTGGGCTAGAAAGACGACAACAATATCAGTCCCCTCGGGTGCCACAGACTCACCAGTCGTTCTCAAACAGGCTGCTGGTCCTCTGCACGCTGAACGCAGGCAGCAGGAGCAGCAAAGTCCCGTAAGGCAATGAGAGGAGAGAAGAACACACCGAGGAGTTAGGCAGGCACGCATTAAGCTTTGACCAAAGAGAATGAGTACGGTACTGTGACAGTGTATTTCTACGTGCAATGTGATGTGGCAAACAAGACCCGTTCATGTTTGTCAGCAGTGTTGGCTGTGGGCGGGAATCGAACCCAATCCACTGGGTTCGTAGCGCGATACGTTAACCACTTCGCTCCCGATGACATGGGGTGGATAACCAAACTCAACACACTGCTAAACCGTCACTTGATTTAAAAATTCCATATGAAGGAGAGACGGGAGAATGGAGCTCACGCATTGCCAAGCGGCTCTAGATGGGAGGCCAGAGTCTTCAACGCCACCTCGGTCTCTGCCAAACGTCGCTCCAGCTCCTCCAGCTGCCGGTCAGCTGCTCTCCAACACAAACACTCAGAGATATTAATATGTATATAGGGATACATGCACACGCATTACACAGATTGTTCGGGAAAGTGCTGTTAGTGAGCACTTACGAAGGCCGGCAAGGGACACAAGGGGGTGATGTGGTCAGCACCATGCCTGGCCACTGTTGTCTCCCTAGTGGCAATGTTTACGCATCACACCAGGTACTCATTTGAGGCTGAGTTTACCTAGAGGAGGCCTAGGGCTGGTTCAGATAAACCGTTACAGATCATATGTTCGACTCCCAATATCTTTGACTCCAAACATATACGTATATTTAGATTTGCACACAAGCAAGCACGTATAAGCATACACACATTCAGAATACCGCGTCAACAAAAATACTTACATAACGAAAATGATTTTCGTTCATCGAATGCTTATATATGACAGAACATGTAATCCATCAGATTCAAAATTAAATGTAGCATCATCAGAGCCAAATGCCAAAATTGAACAACTATCATTCACAATCAGGACCTACTCAGATCAGTATTTACATAATGGTTTGAATTTTGAAAACAGTTGTGCAGTCACATAAATTATTGTGATGAGATGGATCTCAGGGATCACAAGACTGGATTGGGTCAGATATTAAAGCACACAGAAAAGGGCAAGAGTGGTGTGCATCTCAGATAATCTGAACACCGAGTCCTGTATGGCTAGGAGGTGTTGTAAGAAGGGAAGAATCCCACATGAGAAGAAAGATGAACATTGGAAGCACCAGGGCAGAGACCGAGAGGTCAGTCCCAGAAAGAGGTGGTTTGAAGTAGTGAAACAGCATACGAAGGACTGTGGAGTGGATGTGGAGATGATGGTCCAAGATGGGAATTGAGTGGAGAGAGAGGACCAGGGAGGACTCACTTATTTTTCGCTGGGAATTTCCCTCCTTGTTCAACACGGGTTTGTTAATGCCCCGAGGCTCGTTTTTTGAAGCGACCTGTGAATTAAATTTACACATGAAATCTCATATCGCATTGGCTACATACCACTGCTATAGGATTTACCAAAAGTCATCATTCTTAACACTGCTTTATAACAGAAATATATTTAGTAGGCTTAAATTAGGAAATTACAATGTCAGAGCAAGGACTTTTTAAGGAAGGGCAATTTGCAAAAGTTTTACCTCCTACATATCTTTGTTATAAAGGGGAGCTTTTTTGGTATGTGTTTACACATAGCTTCCATTGCATTGCCTTGTTTAAATTGAATGTGTAATGGTTAATCGAGCTACTGCAATATGAAAGTGTAATGCAAAAAGTATTTTATACATAGGCCGATTTTTTTCAATTGAATTACTTGCAGACACATACACACAGTGCATGTAATATGTGCAAGTGCAAGGGCCTCTACATTTTTAGGGGCATGCAAATGATCCGTTTGTATACAAGCACATCTGTGTCTCTGTCTGTGTATTTATGTCAGTCTGTGTTTTTCTCTCTCCGTGCCCATATCAATTTGTGTTCCGCCTCCCTCAGTCTATGCATGTCTACGTAGCTGTGTATGTGTCTCAGTATCTGCATGTCTCTGATCGTGTGTCGTCTCCCTCAGTGTAACTTTCCACGTCTGCAGCCGCTGTGCCTCCGTGTCCCTCTGTGTTTCTCTTCCCCGCATCTCAACTCTCCCACGGTTCTCTCTGTGCTCGTGTCTCGTGACCTCCTCTCCCACCTACACCGGTCGGCCCCACGTAGTTGTCACGACATCTCCGCTCACACCCACCTTGAACAGAATGTAAACGATGTAGATGAGAATGCCAAACCCGTACACAGGCAGCACTTGCTTGATGAAACTGGTGCCCGGCCCAGAGTTGGTCCCTCGACTCTCCTTGGACCGCGAAGACCCCTTTGTGTTGTGGGGGGCCTTCGGGGTTTGGGGGGCTTGACGGGGAGAGGGGCCTTGAGTAGGGGGCATCCCCTGCGGCTGAAGGGACGCGTCTGAAGAACGGGGATATGAGTGACGCAAACACAAACGTCGTCACCATCAACACCAGCTGTGTTCCAACTGTTAGAGACCGGCTTCTACCTCCATGGTCCAGACCAGGAATTGATATGACCTGACATGAAAAAATTATGTCATTACATGTCCAATAAAAGCTCATATATTTTAAAATATTGCAAACAATTAACATAAATATTATTTCTGGCTTTAAAGCTGGTTAAAAAAAAGTTTTACCTACTCATGCGGTACTCAATGGTAAAATATCTGGCACGGGTCCATGGATTTGAGGTCACATGACCACAAGTGGGCAACTTCACAGTTCAAATTCACCTTGACGATGCAACGTGGCATTCGCAATATTGGGGGCGAAAACCTACGCGTTAATTACGTGTATAGTTTTAGAAAATGTGGCTTAAGCATGGAGTTTAGTCAACGTTTTGACAGACACTGAATATGCACCATAAAATCAAGTGTCAGTTCGTCCAAAAACCTCCGTCACCACCGCGGTATTCTGAGTATTTCTCCTTTGTCAAGCTAGTAGGGCACATTGTTAGAGGCGTAATCGGTTCACACACAATGCTAAAGTAAAAAGGGCCTCAGCATGACGATACTAATGATTGCCCACATTCTTCGTAAAGTCTCTGTGGAGTGTGTACGTTCGATGCTGTGGAAATGACCGGGGTGGATTAAGGCTGTCAGTTGATTTATCGTCACAATATAAAAAACAAAATAAAGTCATACCTATATTTAATATCTGCACTTATGGTAAAGAGGAGCCCCCATTTAAGTGAATAATTAAACCTACGAATTCAACTTACGAAGAAGCCTTTTGTATTTACGAGATAATTAAGGAATAACAGCTTGGCGATGTGCGTGTGTCCGCACTGGCGGCGTTTATTGCGTCTGCAGAGAACGTCTTGACATTTAAATAATATATTTGCATTCTATCTACCTTGACACAAACCTGATTTTTCAAAAGCAAAACTCGCGAATGCCACCGAAATAAACTAATAGCAACGTTAGTAACATGATCCAACACAAATCACTCAGTGATTATCACAGCGCGAGACCGTCATTCACAGGACAAACACAGCTTAGGATACAATTCCCTTTAGTTTTCATTCTTCATCAATGCAAACCCGAAACAAATCTCACGCGAAGTGTTCGAATCGAACGACCGGAGGATTGAAGTGCCTCTTAACAACGAGGCCTACTCCGCAAATCCCCTCACGGAACGCCGCGGCCTCGCCTGAACCGCTCGCCCGATCCGAGCGCTCAAAACCCGGGGGAGGGGGATAGCGCGCGAGGGGGCGGTCAACCTCCCGACCGCCACACTAACAACCCCGTAGACTCCCCCCCACACACACACACAAGATCCCACGCACCAGCTCCTTCCCGCCGTCGGAGTCCCGGCAGGAACGTTCGCGCGACGATAACGTAGACAACACAGCCCAGGAAGGCGGCTACCAGCACCGCGGGTCGACCCATGTCCACGCTCAGCCCGCCGGCCACCTCGGCCCCGGACCCTGACGCCGTCGAGACAAATCGCGGGTGGCACCCCCCCCCCTCACCACCCCCCCCCCCCTCACCACCCCCCCCCCCTCACCACCCCCCCCCCCTCACCACCCCCCCCCCCTCACCACCCCCCCCCCTCACCACCCCCCCCCCCTCACCACCCCCCCCCCCTCACCACCCCCCCCCCTCACCACCCCCCCCCTCACCACCCCCCCCCTTACCACCCCCCCTCACCACCCCCCCCTCACCACCCCCCTCGGGAATGGGGAATTGTGTTGTGGTGGCTCCCAGAGCGACGAGGGTGGTGATGGTGGTGGTGTTGGTGGATAACCCCGAGGCGCTGTGAGGCTGTGGAGGGTTGCGGGGATTCAGAGAGAGAGGCCCCGGGCGGCTGTTTGGACGGGAGGGTCGGCGGGGATGTTGTGGCCGGGCCCGGTGGGGCTCGTCTCGCCATTGGCGAGCCTCGGTGACGTCCCACGCGCACTAAGCAACTTGTTATCTTGAGTATGTTGTTATTTTGTTATTCTAGTCAAGTCTCCGTCTAATTGACGAGGGTGGCAAGCCTGAGGGGCTTTGCCCCCAAGTGCCTCACCTGCGAGACTCTCTCTCTGATGAGCCTCGCAGGCGATGGGCACCGAACCCGATGGGAGCCCGAGGCTGGCGTTCGACTATTGTTTTTAATTTAAACTTTATTCGATGCATGAGTTGAGTCACGTCCTCGTCTGTGGATTGCATTCTGTTCATATTCTCTTTGTCTGGTCGACAAAAGTCACTCATTTATCTGCTCTTGGTTATTTCAAATACGCAGAACTCCATTCTGACTACCACAATGTGAAACGTTCGCATATTTATTTTACGTACAGAGGAAATCGTAGCTGGACTTGACAAGGGTCAAGGAGCCGACAGCACCGGCAGCTGTGGAAAGGGCCCAGTAAACATGCAACGTCGGGCCAACGTTGACCCAACGTTGTCGACCAACATTGGCCGAGCGTTCCATATTTACTGAGGGGAGTTCCAGAATGTGGAAGGGCAGCCGAGGGTGATATAAACGATACGGCGAAAATAAATTCGAGACGACACACACATAAAGCGGCGTTTTAAATCGACGATTCGTCTCGTCGCCAATACATAATAGAACCCAGCACAGTTTCAACATTTATTTCCAAACGGGCAGAGGAAGAACCAGGAGTAAAAACATCTTCATCTAGAAGTAAACACAATATCTAACACAGACACCAGATAACACAGGTTGACAGCTAACTAAACCTCATCTGGAAACACTGACGGCGATAACACTGATTATTATTAATATCATAAGGAACATATGCACGCTCATCACATCATTCAAATTTTGATTTAAAGCCTTCGTGACTGCAGTGATTCATATTCTTGGTTCTTTCGGTAAAGTCACGTTGAAGGGAAACAATAAAATATTATATTAATAAAATTGTTATATATATTATTATTTTATTGTTTCCCTTCAACGTGACTTTACCGAACGAACCAAGAATAGAATATCATTCAAATTGTTCAGAAAGGCGAGCGGGCCACATGGAATTGGTGCCCGCTGGTCGAGAATAATTACTGAGTGGCAGCCAGAGGATGGAACGTGTCCGGATGGGATGGCCGTCCCTTGGGGAGACGGAGCGATGGAATCGATCCGTGTGCAGGTGGTCGGTGGGTTAGTACGTCTGCAGGATCTTGAGAGTGGTGATGGTCGTGGCTTGGCGAGGTATTCATCCAGCAGTGGAATAACCATGGCTGCTAACGACGATGCCGATGGATGATGATGGTGACGTAGAGTCATCAAAAAAATTATTGTAACTGTCCTTATTTAAGTTCACTTTCATAATACTTGAATAAACACAAGATCCAGGTCCGATTCAACACATTACATAAAATCCGTGATCTGGTTCCGTCTGTAAAAGATGTGATTCCGGACATACAGTACCCTGGCGTCTACAAACTAAGTTGCCTCTGTGGTAGTAGTCACATTGGAGAAACCAAACGACATGTCTCGGACCGCATTCGTGAACACAAAGCAGACCTAAAACACGGTAGGACCAACACCTCGGCCGTGGCAGATCACTGTTATAATTCAGTAGGCTCACATGACATTGACTTCTCCAAGACAGAGGTTCTCTGCGAGCCATCTGGCTACTATGAGAGATTCGTTCATGAGGCTATCCACATATACACAGAGGCAATTTCAACCGAGAAGATGGATTCTGGCTTAGCAATCATTGGAAGGATTTGATAAACAATTTCGGGTCTTAATTGATTGTTCACGCTTACGGTGGCTTTCAGACTGCATCCATTATTTTCGTCTCCCCCCTCCTCTTTTCCGAACATAGATGGACTTGTCCATCTGAATAACTGCCAAATCGCTCTCCGTGGTGCTAACGTTAAAAAAAACCCGCCACTTTTTCAAATTTTCTTGCTGTGGTTTTCACACCTGATTATGATTGCTTGTGTTGCAGTCGAAACATCGTGATAATTTTATTGTTTTATATTTGTATTATTTTATTGTTTCCCTTCTACGTGACTTTACCGAAAGAACCAAGAATATGAATCCCTGCAGTCACGAAAGCTTTAAATCAAAAATGTTCATAATACTGAACTAAGTTCACCCTTATCATAATGAACGTGTACTACTACATCCAGTATGTGAGTAGTGCCACCATCCGCACCACTTCACAGACACAGCGACTCCAATAGATTATTTGGCGATGCAGTGGTGAATTTTTTTGCTATGAAGGTCGCTTGCCCGAAACGTCGCCTCGTAAATTGTCATAGTTCATCACTGCATACATTTATGGAACACGACCATCGAGAGGAGTAGCGGGCGGCGCTGTGAGCTGGACCATTGGAGACTTCATGTTTCGTATGGGCTGTAGACGCAGAGCAGCAACTCGACTCTGTGATGTCTCCTCCGTGTTTGTGGATGGGGCATTGCCATGGTACCACCGTCTGTGCTAGATGACCACAGTCGCACCACTACTGGAGAGTTTTTAATGTTTCCATTTGTGCATCGTCAGGCATCCGCATCTGCCAAGGTCTGTGCAGTGGGTGCGCTTTACGGTGGACCCATGAGCGTCGTGGGAGATCAAACCCCCGGCGATCTTCTTCTGCGTTGGCTCTTTCACGATGTTGTTGTACCGTGGGCTGTCGGGGTGAACTTTGCCCGGTGGCGGGTGTCGTCGTTACGAGGAGCCACGAGACGGCGCTGTCGGCCTGGGTTAGCGCTCAGCGGGAGCTCTGGGAACTGCCAAGTCGGCTGATGGATTAAAACACTGCATTCAAAAGTGTCTCTTAACCTTGAACTGCAGCCTTGCACCCCTTCGGTACTCAATCCTTAACAGTTTTTTACAATGTTAATAAATACGTAGTTGTTTGATGAAACAAAGTAGTTGAAATGACGTGCCCCTGCTTAATTTGTGTCGATTATTTACCTTCTAAAACAAATCTGGCCATGTCTCACACCCCTAGAAAGGGCATCTCGCACTCCCAGGGGTGCGTACACTCCAGGTTATGAAGAACCACGGATTTAGAGGAATAACAATATGATAGACGATGTTTCGGGCAATTGCGCTCCTTCATAGCACGTGACGAATTTGTTGATTTTGGTTAGGCTATGTGTGCTTGTGTTCCACTGTCAACGCAGCATCAATAACATTTAATAATAGTCTGCCGAGTTATTGGCTCTGACACGTGCTTTTGGATTATACCGCGTGTTGTTCGGCATGATGTCCGACGTTTCACTCCGCGTGCTGGGGAGCTTCTTCAGGATCCGAATGCAGTTCATCCCTTGACTGCCATCTGAATGTAGTTCGGTTCTTGAAGAAGCTCCCAGCACGTGGGGCAAAACGTCGGACATCGTGACGAACAATAAAACACGTGGTACAACTTCAAAAACACGTGGGAGGAGCGTCATAGCAGCACAACCGAAGATGTATTCCAAATTCATGTTGTGATAATTGTTGTGGTCATCACTTTAGACAGCATCATCAGTAGTGGTCATTATGATCGTAATCAACATCATTGTGATCATCATCACCATCATCGTGATACAAATCGTAATCTCAGTCATCGTAAATATTGCGAAACGAACATTCGAATCGATTTCATCAATACACAGTTAATTGTATAAGAGTTACAATAATGCAGATGATCATCAGAGGTGATGCTGTTGATGCTGCTGTTGCTGGTGATCATGATGATGATACATTTCCATGAGTTTGGACTTATCTTCAACACATGATGAGCGGATAAGTATCCCTTAAAGCGATACAAGCAACGTGTTCGCGTGGAGATGGAACCACTGAAGCGTCAAGGAGGGATCTCGAGTTCTGGGCGTCACACGAAGCTTTCTCTGGTCTCGCTGCACAACAGGAACGCGTCCCTCAGGCGCGGGGTCACGAGCTGCAGGGAGTCGAGAGGACCCAGCGACCCAGGGCACGCGACGCCCAGCCGACGGACAGCTGCCTGCACACAGCGGCAGCATTGTCATCGTCATCATGGTCATCATCATCGTCATCATCATGGTCATCGTCATCATCATCGTCATTATGGTCATCATCGTCATCATCATGGTCAGCATCATCATCATCGTCATCATCGTCGTCATCATCATGGTCATCATCATCATCATGGCCATCATCATTATCATGACATTATGAGACCTCCTTTGCCAGTAACAAGATATAGTAATAGGTTTTTACTCTTTTAGCTGGCACAAAAAACTGACACCTTTATACAAGGGATCATGTTTGCAATAACCACAACACAAGCAGTCAAAAATGCAAACAAAAAGAAACAACTCTGATAATGATATGCACTGTCCTTGAATTTGATTGGTCCACACCCGAGACGGCTTTTCTTAGAGCCCAGTCTCCACTGGTGTTGGACCAGATGACACCATAAGGCGTACAACTCAAAAACAGCGCACTATCAGAGTATTGAGAGCTCGGGGTAAGCCTTTCAATTATGAGACCTCCTTTGCCAGTAACAAGATATAGTAATAGGTTTTGACCCTATTAGCTGGCACAAAAAACTGACACCTTTATACAAGGGATCATGTTTGCATGAATTCAAGGACAGTGCATATCATTATCAGAGTTGTTTCTTTTTGTTTGCATTTTTGACTGCTTGTGTTGTGGTTATTGCAAACATGATCCCTTGTATAAAGGTGTCAGTTTTTTGTGCCAGCTAAAAGGGTAAAAACCTATTACTATATCATTATCATGGTCATCATCATCATCATGGTCATCATCGTGATCATGGTCATCATCGTGATCATGGTTATCATCATCATCATGGTCATCATCATCATGGTCATCATTAGCGAGCTGCGGTGGCGAGTTGTTGACTACCTCGTCTGGTATAGAGGAGATCGTGGGTTCGATACCGCCCCTGACGCCTGTTTTATATTTGGAGTTTGCGTGTCTCTCCCCGTAGTTGCGTGTATTTTTCTCCATTTTAACGTCCACATTTAGAAACATGCATTTAGAGTATTTGGCTGCAATACATTTCTACTTGATAAGCCACTTCGTCGAGGTATCATTTGTGGCCATGTCGCTTCTAAAAAGAGCTATATAGCTCAGTGGGCCTTACCTAGTAAAATAAAAAAGTTTATGTACTAGTTTATCATCATCACGGTCGTAATCATGAACGTCACCGTGGTCATCATCTTCTTCATGATGACCATCGTCGACATCAGTTGTTTTCAGCATGGTCTTAATCATGATCATTATCATCATCTCAATCATCATCATGGTCATCATCTAAGTGATAATCCTAAGCATAGGTAGCAGCAGCATCACAACTATCATCATCAGCAGCACCAGAATGATCATCATCATTACGTTTATCATCGTCATCATAGTCGGCATTGTAAACATCATCGGCAGCAACACTCATCACCATCGGCATCATTTAGTAGCAGTAGCAGCATCAGCACCACTTAAGCATCATCGTTATCGTTCGATGGTAGGAGGGTGGTTCGGTCAAAATCACGACTCTATTGTACTTTGCCCTTGAGTCTTGGGTCCCTGAGTGAAGGGGGTCTACAAAGGGGACCCGCTGTCCACGACTCGGCACCCCGGCTGGTCTCACCAGGCAGGCTAAGAGGACCCCGTCACTGTGGCTCCGCTCTGCCGGCACCCGGCACATGACGGCGAGTCGCGACACACCTTGGCCAGCACACAGCCACGCACAGGCAACGGGGTCAACAACAATAACAAACAACACCACCTACAGCAAACAACAACAACACAGCCACGCACAGGCAACAAGGTGAGCAACAACAAGGTCAGCAGAAACAGCAGCAACAATAACAGAATCAGAATCTTTAGACTGCAGGAGAAATCCGATGAGCTATGAAGCTCTTTGTCACAGATGTCAAGTAAGGGCGTGTCAGCAAGTTACAACAACCAACCCCGCCCCACCCACCCGCCCTCATTCACACGGTTCGCACGGCCACCGCTCATCCAGCAGTGGATCATACTAACGAATGATTATTGTTGATCATCGATTACATCCGAGATGAACGGCGGTGCGGCAGGCGCTGGGGCTGCGAGCGAGGCGCGCGAGCGCCACGGCTGCCCTCTGCTGCCCCCGCTCGCACGCCGCCACCTCCCCAGGGCTCGCACTCACAGCCGGCTTCGCCTCCAGGCAGCTCATCAGCAGCACCAAGCCTGTGCTCACACACATAGGCACATATGTAACCGTACGTGCGTGTGTGCACAGGCTGTTGGGGCAAGTGCTCTTGGAAGCCGAACAGCCCAGCCGCCTTTGTCTTCCCTGTTTACACATTGCACCACGTGCTCATTGAAGTTGACCTACTGGAGGCCTTGCGGCGGTTTAGATGTTCGTCACCGATATTGTCCGTGAGCGGTAATCGAACCCTGCTCGCTGTGTTCCTAGGGCAGTGTGATAACCACTGTAACACAGCTCCAAAAAACCCACAGAATTACAGAGAGATCCACAGACGTACACAGAGACCTACAGACTTGCACAGACACCCATAAACTATTAATTAAATATGAACCTGGCCCAATGCATCTCCCTCCGAGTTGAAAGCGGGGGTGATAACCGATCTTGGGGTAAAGATCACAGAGATGAGTGGGGTACTTAGTTTGTAAGACAAAGCGAAATGCAGGACCCTCCCGAATCGGAGTCTGGAGACTCTCTCACCTTGGCAGCTCATGACCTCCGCGCGACCCCGCTCGGTCACGGCCAGGTTCGCCAGGACCGTCACCACCTGTGCAGCACAGGACGAAGGGGGCAGCACTCAGAGGTCCGCCCAGATGGATTCACGATCTAACTCGCTAAATGCCATCTCCCGTCCCCGCCCACCCAACCCCTGGGACGCGTGCACCCTGTAAAGACGACTTTGCATTGCATTTGAACGGAGGTAGATTGGTAAGGGTGGAGAGGTGGCTACCCGAGTTCGACTCCTGCTCACAGGCAACATCGGAGACTGATATCTAAACCGGTCATGGGCCTCCCCTAGGTCAACTCAGCCTTAAATAAGTACAGGACTGTACGGTACCTCGTGCGTTGTGTAAAACATCACCACGGGGGAGACAAAGGCGGCCGGGTTTGGTATTGGTCACCCAGCCCCTTTGTGTGCCGTGCAGGTCTTAGTAGGTACTGTCTCAGCACTTACTCCAACAGTCTGTTAAGGCTACACGGGGATCTTTGTCTGTGTGTGTGATGGGGAGTGCACGTGCGAGTGTGCAGGGCTTTCGTTTACCTGTGTGAGTGTGTGCGTGTTTTCGTGAATTTGTGCAGATTCGTGCGTGCCTGTGTGTCGGCAAGTGTCTATTCACAATTTATTTGGCTGCGTCGGGTGGCGGAGAGGGGTGGGGTACACGACACAATTCGGCATTCGTGCGATCTCCACTCACCTGGTCCTTGGCGTAAGGAGAGCACGCGGAGCCGACGACGGGACCGGCCCCCTTGGCTTCGCGCGAGGAGTTGAGCCCCGGATCGAGGTTGGTCTCTCCGCCTGCTCCCGCGGACCCCGTAGGCGGCCCCCTCGCTCCGGCGGGCCCCCTCGCCGACGCGGGCACGAGTGGCTCACAGCGCATCGTGCGTCGGAGCAGCACGCGGGCCGTGCCGGCTTCGAGGATTGCGTCGCGGGCGGCAGGGCCCAGGAACGAGATGCTCGCCAGCGCGGCGGCGCCCAGCAGGAACACCTCCCCGCAGGAGGACTCCCCGCACAGCTCTGAGCGCGTGGGGCAGAGCACGACGCGCGCTCGCCTCACTGACACGGGGCCCTTCGCGATGCCAGGGCACTCCAATGATGACCGGCGACGTTGGGAAGCGTTTATCGGAATCGGTTACGGGTTCTCAAAGTCCGGAAACCGGGAACCAACCTTTCCAGTAGTGCGTGAGCGACGGATGCACCGACTTATCGGGCACCATGGCCAAACGTTCAAACCGCACGGCGGCAGGCCCGAGTCACCGCTTGGTTACACTTCTCAGTTAAAAGACAAAGGGCCAGCCATGTAAGTGCTCGCTTGCTCACGCTACTACGTATGCACGTTGAACTGTTTTCGCACCGTACGAAGCCAACCATGCCAGAGGGTTAGATTGTATAGTAAGAGTGGGATGCCGCGCTTTCCTCCATGGGGCCCGATGCGAATGAATGAATGTTCACGTGTCACCTGTCAGCGCCCCGACCACACGCAGCGCCTGGGCCCCGTCCAGACCGGGGCCCTTGACCGTGGGGCCCGAGGTCGCGTGCGGGGCCAGCACCTGGGCCAGCACCGCGGCCGCCTCGGCGCGCACCGCCTCCGAGTGCTGCCCGCGGCCCTCGAGGACGTGGGCGAGAGAGCTCACTCCGTCCTCCTGGGACGCGTGGGCGAGACAGGCAGGAGTGAGACACCGGTGAGACACACTGACGTGAGACCCGGGGGTGGAGCACGTGGGTGGAATCGAGACCACATTGTCCCACTTACTCCCATTGCTTCACTGGCTGCCATGACGTTGCCCTAACAATGCAACATATTTATATTTACGCCATCTAACCCCCCCAAAAAAACCTGTATTATGGATGATATTGGCCGCGAAAGCCTGCTACGTGAATGACTGAATGTAATTCCGAGCTCGCATCTCTCAGTGCGCGCTTCCCCGATGGTTCCACGTGTTTTGTCAGTCACCTACAGAACCGCGTGAGTGCCCCTAAGGGATCCCCTTTATATCCCCCTACAGACACTCGGGAGTACCCCTCTGCAACCCCCACTCATATAGACCCCCTGGAATATACCCACACTCATGCGAGCCGCGTCACCCTTCTCGCATGCACATCCCCTTGAGTTATCCATCGCAGACCCCCCCCCCCCCCTCTCTGCGCGACCCATGACGGACCCCCTCTTTGAATGTCTCTGGGGAAGGGCGGGGAGGGGGGTGGTAAACCTGGCGTCTCCCCCTTCTCATGGAACTTCACCTTGATGAGTTCGTCCCGGCCCAGGGAGACGGAAGCGAGTGACGCGAGTGTGCGGAGCGACGCGGCGAGCACGTGCGTGGGACAGTGGCGAGCACGCACGAGGCGGACGAGCGCGCGCACCCCTCCCTCCTAAGGGGGGCGGGGGGAGGACAATGTGGTGGAGTGGGGGGCGGGGGCAAGAGGGGGGTGGGAGGTTGGCACCATAGCGAGCGCGCGCCCACATCCCCCCTGTTCATTGATTGATGATTGGCTCGCACTGCGGATGATAGCGAAGGCAGCTGTTGTTGTCATCGCAATGATCGTTTCGAGCATCGTTTATGTTCTCATCATCGTCATCATGCGCACATGCACGAATGCACGTGCGTGTACACAAGCAAATATATAAAATACAAAGATAAAGTTTCCCGTCTGGTCTTGATAAACTGTTGGGGCAAGTGTTGTAAGCGAGCACCTATGAAGGCCGGAAACGGCACACGAGGGGGTGCGTGGCCAGCACCACGCCCGACCGCCTTTGTCTCCCCAGTGGCGATATTTATACACCGCACCAGGTATCATTTCAGGCTGAGTCGACCTAGGGGATGCCCAGGACCGGTTCAGATAATTGTCACTGGTGTTGGCCGTGAGCGGGGATCGAACCTAGATCACTAGGTTCATAGCGCAGCGCGCTAACCGCTACACGACCGCTCCCCACAGTGAGCCACACACACTGGGTCAGTCACACAACAGTGAGCCACACACACTGGGTCAGTCACACAACAGTGAGCCACACACACTGGGTGAGCCACACACACTGGGTCAGTCACACAACAGTGAGCCACACACACTGGGTGAGCCACACACACTGGGTCAGTCACACAACAGTGAGCCACACACACTGGGTCAGTCACACAACAGTGAGCCACACACACTGGGTGAGCCACACACACTGGGTCAGTCACACAACAGTGAGCCACACACACTGGGTCAGTCACACAACAGTGAGCCACACACACTGGGTCAGTCACACAACAGTGAGCCACACACACTGGGTCAGTCACACAACAGTGAGCCACACACACTGGGTCAGTCACACAACAGTGAGCCACACACACTGGGTCAGTCACACAACAGTGAGCCACACACACTGGGTCAGTCACACAACAGTGAGCCACACACACTGGGTCAGTCACACAACAGTGAGCCACACACACTGGGTCAGTCACACAACAGTGAGCCACACACACTGGGTCAGTCACAACAGTGAGCCACACACACTGGGTCAGTCACACAACAGTGAGCCACACACACTGGGTCAGTCACACAACAGTGAGCCACACACACTGGGTCAGTCACACAGCAGTGAGTCACACACACTGGGTCAGTCACACAACAGTGAGCCACACACACTGGGTGAGCCACACACACTGAGTCAGTCACACAGCAGTGAGCCACACACTGAGTCAGTCACACAACAGTGAGCCACGCACCCGAGCCACGATGTGACACATGTGGTCGCCTCCTCTGGCCAGGGCAAGGAGATCTCCCAGGGAGGCGATAAGAGAGCGTGGCCGAGAGATGTCCCCAACCTTCCTCACCAGCTCCTGCAACACGCGCACAGCTCCCTGTCAACCCCGGCCCCCTCGCACCCCGCTCCTGGACTCTCAAACGTCCGTGAGAGGCTGGTGGCGCTCTCGGTTTACACGTCGGGGGGGGGGGGGGGGGGGTGGCTGGCCACCACCGTCGCTGTAGCCGAGGGGATCGGACACGAACGACGCGGGTTCCAGTCACAGCCTCAACACCGCTATCACCCCCCTCCCCCCCCTCCCCAGTGCCGGATGAAGCTCGTGCGGGGCCTGTAGCATGCGATGTTATAAAGGGGTCCTAATTAAACAAAAAACACGTAAATATTAAAACACACATTTTTTTACTTGCACAGCAAAGTAATTGTATTTTTTCATTTGCTATACAGCCAGATAATATGACAAATCGCTAACATTAAACAACCCAGTCGTTCATAAAAGTTGAAGGCGGTATAGTACTATAGTAATAGAGCAAGTGCAGAATCACTGAACCGGTATTGATAGCTTGAAAGCATTTAGCGCGGTGCCCTTGAAAGTGCGGGGCCCGCAGCTACTACTACATATGTAGTAGTAGCTACTGTTACATAGTAGTAACTACTACTACTACATATGTAGTAGTAGTAGCTACTACTACATATGTAGTTGTAGCTACTACATATGTAACAGTAGCTACTATTACATATGTAGTAGCAGTAGTAGCTACTACTACATATGTAGTAGTAGCTACTACTTTTGCAACTAGGATCATCCGGCACTGCCCCCACCCCCATCATGTGGGGAGAGAGGGGGGGGGCATGCGTCACCTAGGAGTTATGGAGGAGCTTGGGGGGGGCATCCATTTGAGAGTGACTCACGCAACTGGGAATCGAACTGTACCTGATCGACTTAGGAGACGAGCGCTCAGTTGCACGCGAATTTATTAGTCACGGTTGTAACTTGGATGCCGTACATATTAATACCGCATTGCATGCATCCTAATCCTATTGGCGTGTGTTAATCCGTGAAGCAGACGGCGCCTGTTTATAGCCTTAATCCCCCTCACCCCGCCCCCCGCGGTATTTACCACGGCGGCCGCGGGGTAGCGAACCGCAAACCTCTACAAAGAACGGCAAAGGCGCTCCCGCTCGGCTCATGCCACCACATCCGCTATACCCCTAGCTATGGCTGGGACCACGCGGGCGTGGAATGCTTTGATGTCGTCTGTCGGCAGAGTCGCCCTTGAACAAAAAACCGATATTCTTGAGCTCAATCGGCTTTGCACGGGAAATACTCTGCTGCCTATTGAGTCGGCTTTACACGGGAAATACACTGCTGGTTATTGAGTCGGCTTTGCACGGGAAATACACTGCTGCCTATTGAGTCGGCTTTACACGGGAAATACACTGCTGGTTATTGAGTCGGCTTTGCACGGGAAATACTCTGCTGGTTATTGAGTCGGCTTTGCACGGGAAATACTCTGCTGGTTATTGAGTCGGCTTTACTTTGGAAATACACTGCTGGTTATTGAGTCGGCTTTGCACGGGAAATACACTGCTGGTTATTGAGTCGGCTTTACACGGGAAATACACTGCTGGTTATTGAGTCGGCTTTGCACGGGAAATACACTGCTGCCTATTGAGTCGGCTTTACACGGGAAATACACTGCTGGTTATTGAGTCGGCTTTACACGGGAAATACACTGCTGGTTATTGAGTCGGCTTTGCACGGGAAATACACTGCTGGTTATTGAGTCGGCTTTGCACGGGAAATACTCTGCTGGTTATTGAGTCGGCTTTGCACGGGAAATACTCTGCTGGTTATTGAGTCGGCTTTACTTTGGAAATACACTGCTGGTTATTGAGTCGGCTTTGCACGGGAAATACACTGCTGGTTATTGAGTCGGCTTTACACGGGAAATACACTGCTGGTTATTGAGTCGGCTTTGCACGGGAAATACACTGCTGCCTATTAAGTCGGCTTTACACGGGAAATACACTGCTGGTTATTGAGTCGGCTTTACACGGGAAATACACTGCTGGTTATTGAGTCGGCTTTACACGGTAAATACACTGCTGGTTATTGAGTCGGTTTTACACGGGAAATACACTGCTGCCTATTTAGTCGGCTTTACACGGGAAATACACTGCTGGTTATTGAGTCGGCTTTACACGGGAAATTCACTGCTGGTTATTGAGTCGGCTTTACACGGGAAATACACTGCTGGTTATTGAGTCGGCTTTACACGGGAAAATACACTGCTGGTTATTGAGTCGGCTTTACACGGGAAAATACACTGCTGGTTATTGAGTCACACGAGGACTGGTGAGCGTGGAACTCGGAGCAAAGCAGGAGGCTGAGAGAGCAAACTCGGGGCTCATTTAGCGGGGTCACAGTGGCTCGCTGACACCGTCTGTCCTCTGTGCACAAAGAGTTCTCCCGTTATCACCAAGCGCCTGCCAGATCTCGATATATTTATATATATACAAGGCAACGATCCCCCGTATGGTATGAACACGCTGCTTGGGGGAGTGCCGCTGGCGAGCACCTATGAAGGCCGGCACGGCACACTAGCAGGTGATGTGGTCAGAACCACGCTCGGCCGCCTTTGTCTCCCGAGTGGCGATCTTTACACATCGCACCAGGCACTCATTTGAGGCTGAGTTGACCTAGGAGAGGCCCAGGATTGTTTTCAGATAATCGTGAGCTAGAATCGAACTGGGGTCGCCGGGCTCGGAGCACGGTGCCAACTGAAGCACGTGACAGTTTGTATTGTTAGAAAGCGACTGGAGCCATGCACTTGCAAATCATCCAGATCGAGCACTCATTTCTTAAGAACTGTTTGTTTTGTGTGTGTTTAGTTTGTTGCCCTTCCCCCACACCTCCGATTAGCACGGTTGGCTACGTACGGTGCGAAAGAAGTTCAACATGCATGCATAAATACACAACACACACGTAACACATAAAACACACAATAGATCGTTAGTGTCTGTTTCACCGGTATAAAGTGAACAAGATGGATTTTTTTTTAAACGAATGTGTTGTTCCTGCAAAGCAATTGATTTTCAAAGTTGATTTATACGTGTGCATTGTTTTCTGTAAAGCAGGTAGTTTTCAGCTGATTGCTATTTGCTTCACTTTGTTATAACTTATCGTTTACTTTACAACTTAGTGACACCAGATGACTCGTGCAAGTGACACTCTCCGTGGCCTTCCGAGTCCTCGCCCGGCGAAACTAAATGGCCCTGAACTTGAACTGCTTATAGGGACCGAGGGGAGGGGCATCACGTGGAGCGAAACGTCGGACATCGTGACGAACAGCACGCGGGCACAGCCAGAGAACGATTCAGAAAGCTACACAGCAGCACAACACATCAGCGAAAACCTAGGCAGTAGTGAGCAAAGCAACGCGAGGGAGATCATGCAGACGAACACAGCACACAAAGCGCAGAGGAAGAACACACGAAGCGCACAGGGGGAACAGCACGCACAGGGGGAACAGCACGCACAGGGGGAACAACACACACAGGGGGAACAACACCCACAGGGGGAACAGCACGCACAGGGGGAACAGCACGCACAGGGGGAACAACACACACAGGGGGAACAGCACGCACGGGGGGAACAGCACGCACAGGGGGAACAGCACGCACGGGGGGAACAGCACGCACAGGGGGGACAGCACGCACAGGAGACAGCACGCACAGGGGACAGCACGCACAGGGGACAGCACGCACAGGGGGACAGCACGCACAGGGGGAACAACACACACAGGGGGAACAACACACACAGGGGGACAACACACACAGGGGAACAGCACCCACAGGGGGAACAACACACACAGGGGACAGCACGCACAGGGGACAGCACGCACAGGGGAACAGCACGCACAGGGGGAACAACACACACAGGGGGAACAACACACACAGGGGGACAACACACACAGGGGAACAGCACCCACAGGGGGAACAACACACACAGGGGACAGCACGCACAGGGGGCAGCACGCACAGGGGACAGCACGCACAGGGGGACAGCACGCTGAGGGGACAGCACGCACAGGGGGACAGCACGCACAGGGGGAACAGCACGCACAGGGGGAACAACACACACAGGGGACAGCACGCACAGGGGACAGCACGCCCAGGGGGAACAACACGCACAGGGGACAGCACGCCCAGGGGGAACAACACGCACAGGGGACAGCACGCACAGGGGGAACAACACGCACAGGGGACAGCACGCACAGGGGACAGCACGCACAGGGGACAGCACGCACAGGGGACAGCACGCACAGGGGGAACAACACGCACAGGGGGAACAACACACACAGGGGGAACAGCACGCACGGGGGGAACAACACGCACAGGGGAACAACACGTACAGGGGAACAACACCCACAGGGGGAACAGCACGCAGAGGGGGAACAGCACGCACAGGGGACAGCACGCACAGGGGGAACAACACGCACAGGGGGAACAACACGCACAGGGGGAACAGCACGCACAGGGGGAACAGCACGCATAGGGGACAGCACGCACAGGGGACAGCACGCACAGGGGACAGCACGCACAGGGGGAACAACACGCACAGGGGGAACAACACGCACACGGGGAACAACACGCACAGGGGGAACAGCACGCACAGGGGGAACAGCACGCACAGGGGGAACAGCACGCATAGGGGACAGCACGCACAGGGGACAGCACGCACAGGGGACAGCACGCACAGGGGACAGCACGCACAGGGGACAGCACGCACAGGGGGAACAACACGCACAGGGGGAACAGCACGCACAGGGGACAGCACGCACAGGGGACAGCACGGACAGGGGACAGCACGCACAGCACACAGGGGAGGCGGCACACACAGTGACACGGCACAGAAGGACACAGCACACACGGGACGCAGGAGGAACAGCACAGCACACACGTGGAACATGACCACCTGTATGAATGACACCTGTTGCTTCGGGTGCTGCAGGGAATAAACGCGGGAGACAGAGCGTGATCATCAAGCAACAGCGATACCGCGAGCCACAGCCT